AGAGAGAGAGAGAGAGAGAGAGAGAGAGAGAGAGAGAGAGAGAATTAGGAACAGAGAGAAATCTGGGTAATTTCTACGAAACAATAGTTCTACCTAACCCCATCGTATTAACTGCTAGAAAATAGAAAACATCCTCTACCAAATTCGAAAATGTAAATGAAGTTTTAAGCAATATTTCACCCATTTACAGCGCACGACCTTTCAAAATTACTGTTTTATATACTTATGAAAACTACTCAAACTTCAAAGTGTTTTATCAAAAGGGGAATCAAAGGATCCCTTTTTCATAGGTTTGGCCTTGAAAGGGGAAAAAAAAAGTTTGATTTACATAGGCAAAGGAATAGAAAGGTATATAAAAGATTGATGGAACTCTTGGTAAGCGTAGGTACTTTAAAAATATCCATATCTTCGATCACAATCTGTCACAATGGTATAGATAAATCGATAATATCGATTGTAGATAAAAATTAGATATTTTTTTCTTTTCATTCTGATATTGACTGTAATAAAATTAAAATAAATTTCGAGCCAATTCTTGTGTGGGATAAATAATTAATATAGAAAATTTATTTTAGGTGAATAATTGTGTTGACGTAGGAATGATAATAATAATAATAATAATAATAAAGAAAAGAAAAAAATAATAAAAATGTCCTTATTAATATTCACTTGGATTTGTGTTTGCATTGTCGATGAGTTTCGATCGAGTGGTACCTTCTATTTATGTTACTCGATGCAACCTCTCTCGTTCTGTCACGTATCACAGACTCTTCAGTGATTGCTTGAAATCCTACAATCACGAGCAATCCTCTCTCTCTCTCTCTCTCTCTCTCTCTCTCTTTCATACTCTATTTGTGATCTTCAAATTACATCGAATCGCATTAAATGATCCTTCGATATATTTTCATACTCCACTTTTGCAAAATTAAAATCCAAATATTTCTACAAATGTTATTGAATTTATTATTCATAATTACAACAATTTTGTAATTAAATTCCTCTCTCTCTCTCTCCCACCCTCCCTTTTAATTTAATAAAAAAATTAATATTCTTAATTAACCTTTAGAAATGAAATACTTCTTTCAATTTAATAATATAACGATTATCTCTACGTTTGTGTGATGTGTAAAATTCTTCTATTAATTTTCAAAAATAAAAATTATAATTATTTCGTATGTACTTATGTAAATATTATTATTATTATTATTATTATTATTATAAATAATATGATATTTTTATAAAAATTATTATGATAAAACAAGATCATAGATAAAGTTAAAAATAAATGTAGAAATATATTTTTGAAAGAAAAACTACTACTAAAATGATCGATCGTTTTTATCCAACGTGTAGAATTTATTTTCTTTCTAAGACACTTACGTAAACTCGGATTAAAACTTCCAAGCCCTTTTTCGATCGAAAAGTCACATTTTTTCCACTCCGTTTCCCTTCCATCGATCTTGTCGATCATTCAAGCGAGACATCCCGATTGTATATAACTCACTCTTTTGCTATTACATATGTATGAATAAAAGAAGACAAGAAAAAAATGACAAAAAATTATGAAAAATATCATAGATAACAGGATGAACACTTATCCATATATCGTTTGATCAAATTTATATATAAATACACGATTGATATAAAATATATTAGAAAGAAAGAAGGAAAAAAAACAATTATATTAAAAATAATTTCGATTCGTTTGATTTTATCCACGTTTATTAAAATTCTTCTCTCTTTATTTTAATTAATAAATAATTAAATACAAGAATAATATATAATCTCTCTCTCCATTGGTAATCAACGATTAATGTACTGTTAATTACAAAATTATTTTAAGAAAAAAAAAGAAAAAACGAAGAAAATGATTCTACAACCATAGAAGAATAGGAAAGAGGTTAACAAAATTGTAGGCTCGGGGATAAAAAAAAAACAAAAAACAAAAGAAAAAAAAACTTGTAATATCACGTCGTAAGTGTCGTTGTCATAGTCGTTCCTGAAAGCTTACAACACTCGACCCTGATGATGACGCTCAAGGGTGGCATAGCCCCATGCACTTTTGCAAAGGCAAAAGGGAAAGAAGAAGAGCAAAGCGCTTCGCTAGGAAATTGCTTCTGACACTGGCAAAAGTGGAAATGAAAATGCGTTTTTTGCTTTCAGTATTTCTTACTAGAATATATATATGACACTCTTAGCGATGTATATTATATATTTCTTCTTAATTATCCTTACACACACAAATTTCTAATCGATCAATATTCTTCCTTTTTCATTTTCTTTTTGTTTTTTTTTTTTTGCGTGCTTCTTTATCGAATTCTTTTTAGAATTGATTAATCGAACGAGACGATTGATAAGATTCTTTTTGTAATTATTTTACACCACCCCGTTACCCCCCTCCCGTCCACCCCCTCCTCACCTGTCTGCAGACTCAATTTCATTTCGTACAAAATAATTATTCTTCCGTTCAAATATATTTCCCGACAATTACGTGTTCACAGGAAACAATTATTTTTATTCGAAATTAGTCGATTAATCGAACGAGACAATTGATAAGACTTTTTTTTTAAATGATTGTACACTACACATCCCCACACCCTTCCTGTCTCGAGACTCAGCTTCATTTCGTTCAATATAATTATTCTTCCGTTGAAATATAATATATTCTACAACAATTTCATGTTCATAGGAATCATGTTCATAATCAAAATGTGTCGACAATTTTGTTTTGATTTTGGTATGATTGTTCATTCCATTACATTTTATTTCATTTATATTCAACACGAAATTGATTGATAAGATAACAAAATAATAATAATAATAATTATGCAGGTTTTTTTACACCGGTCTTTTAAGTAAATACGATTAGTTCTATTAATCCCGATCTATTCTAACGAGATTCCAAAATCAAAAATTTTTTCTTTTTCTTTTTGTTAAGCAGATTGAAAAGCCAAGCGTAATTCGTCATTCGTCTAATAACGAATCGTCGCTCGATCCAATGGAAATAAGAGTCCGACCAACCGTTTCTTTTATCCGATGAATAAAACATAAGATAAAAAAAAGAGACGGAGAGAGAAAGAAAAAGAGAGAAGAAGAAAGAGGTAGCCGGAAAAAATCGGTGAAGGAAGAAAATTTAATTTGAAATTTAGACGAGTTTTTATCATCGACACGAATAATGTTAAAGATTTATTGAAATTTAATTTAGTTTCATTTCATTTCATTTCATTTCATTTTTTTCTCCACAACAAATAATAATGATGATGATGAATATTAATTAAATTGCAAATAATCAATCGAGGTAATAGATGTACGCGCGCGTACAGCTTCGTGTATTTGATTGGCCAATAAAAATTTTCTAATAGTTTATATTTATATTTAAATAAATAATATTTGTATTTTTTGAATCGTTCTTTTTTCATTCATTAACGATTCATATAAGAGTCTTTCGTACAAAAATCTCGAAGTTAAATATTACCGAACGACGCGATACTTAACGAAATAGAATTAATATAAATAATTGTTTAAATATATTAAATATATTATATCTTTAAACGCGAATGTGTATATGAAATCGTTTAACATTATTAACGACTAATTATTTCTAATATTATTTATTTAGAAATGTTAGTAAAATTGTTTCTATTTATATTAAAACTCCTCTTTTCCACAATTTTTCTTCGATGATTTGTGAAAAAAATTGGTATGGCAGTTTTTCGATGGTCGGATAACTTTGAACACTTTTCCCACCGAGTAAACAACGTGCACGCGTCCATTTATTATTTACTATGTGAAAAAACAGACATGCCTTTATATCGATAGTTTGCATCGATTTCGAAGAAAATAACGAAACATAAAGACATATCAAGAATGTTGACAATTACGTCATTCTTTTAGTTTCATAATTTTTCCTTTATACGAATAATACGAACGAGAGAAAGGAAAATTACATGTCTAAACATGAAATTTAGATGTCGACCAGTATTGGATTAAAAAAAAAAATAAAGAAATTAAAAAAAAATAAATACGATAATTTTATACAAAATTTTATTGTATATTCGTATGTGTAATAATGAATTATTATCGCGAATACGAACGAAATATATTTTTTTTTCCGAATGAATTAATTTTAATTCAATGTTTTTGAGAAAAACTAATTATTTTATTCTTTTTAATGTACGTTTTAAATTCAATGGGAAAGAATTGTGGGTGGGTTGAGGGAAGGGTGGAATTATTTTTCAATTGTTCTCCATTTTGTTTTTCCTTTTTTCTACCCCTCCCCTCTGCCTACCTTCCTTAAAACGAACAAAAAATGATAATCAAAAGCAAAATATTGCTTTTCTTTTATATAGATATTTTCTTTTTCTTTTTCTTCTTCTTCTTCGAATAAAAAGATATCGTTTAAAACGATACACGTGGATAAGATTTACGAATAAAAAATTATATTAAAGTAAATGAAAATAATAATAATAATAATAAGATTTCATTATTTCGCGCGTAAATAAATTGGACGATGGAAAAAAAGAAAAGAAAAGAAGAGTAGTTAAGTTAACGCGAAACATCGCGTGGTTCGAATTAAACATTTCCTTTTTTTTTTTTTTTTTTACTTAAAAATTTTTTTTATATACAAGATCGTTAAATCCTCGTAAATCTTCGCGAGATAACACGCAACACGATCGTTCTACTTGAAACAAGAAACACGACGAGTAGAAGGAAGAATGAAAAAAAAAATAATAAAACGTACAAAAACAACGTAATACGCGTGAGGAAATTTATATCCTAGGATTGATTGCAAAAAAAAAGAAAAAAGGAAAAGACAAATAAATTATTCAACCAGAAGGGGAAGTTCGCATAAATCCGATACGTTGCGTTATAATTATGTAATAGCAAATAACGTTAAAAAAAGAAAGAAAATATTTATCCTATAAACAAAGATTAGATAACAAAAACATTCTCATCGAACGAAAACACCTTCCTATTTATGTCCACCCCTTCGAAAAGAAAAAGGGCATCTATAAAGTAAGGAAGAAAAACAGTACTTAGGAATCAGCCGTTTTCAAATTAAAAAAGAAAACGAAAAATACGACAGGAGTGTTGCTACAAAATTATAAGAATATGAGTACACGTAAAAAAATAAAAGGAATATAAAATTCGTAATTAATAAATTTTGTATACTATAAATATATTTACTATTATTATTATTATTATATGGATATACGTTGACACTATTAATATATCATCATTATTAAAATATTATTAATGTACTAATAAGTCTAATAATAATTATTAACCAACATTATATCGACATTATATCGATAAGTTATTATTTTAATACTACTAATAAGGATACTATATGCACACAAACATACATACACAATTATATTTTCCTATTAAAATAATAATAATAATAATAATAGTAATAATATTGCTAATAATAATAAATGAACGATATATGGTAATTAGATTAATTTTCCTTAATTATCACGAATAGTCGCTACAAGTGTACTCAGGTTAATATCTCGAGATGAAAGGAAACCCCTAAAAGTTCATTCAAATATCCAAACCCAACATATATAGATATATATACAGAAACACACACGCACGCGCGTATACAGACATGTTTGACATATCCCATAGAGACCATTTAAATCAAACCGGACGAATTTGAGTTACTTGGTCATCAAGAAATTCATACAAGCATAAAGGAAATCGACATAACAGATGAAATTGCTATAACGTATGTGCAACATGCATTTACCATCTGGTTAACGCGTAAATGAACCGGTTTGAATGTTCGAACAGTTTCGACAAATTGACGATATATTAATGCATACTTCGTGATGTATGTGAATTTAAAAAAAAAAACCACATACACCACAAGTAAATGTACGTTAACACTGATAATAGATTATAAGAGGGTGGAATTGAGGGTTGATGCAATATGCAAGCCGATCGGCCGATGATGGCTAATCATTAAATTTTCAATTTCCTGCGAGACTACACCATGCGATTCGAATTAATCGATAATATTGATCGAAAATGATGACCATATAAACGCAATACAAATTATTAGATCATTTAAAAAAAAAAAAAATAAAAGAAAAGAAAGAAAAAAAATTCTATCATATGTTATTTATACATTTTTGTAAAAGATTTATCATCGTATGGTTTAATACAAAGTTGAATCGATTTTAAAATGAAAATAAATATCATTTCGGAATAGCGTTTATTCAAATAAAAAATGAAAAAAAAAAAAAAAAAACAAAAATATAGGAAAACTCGTCCAAACGTTAGACCAATTAAATGAATGATTATACAAATATGTAATAAATCAAATGAAAATAAACATAATTATGTAAATGTTTTTTTTTTTTTTTTTTTTTTTTTTAATTCGAACGAAGATATAATCATATGGAAAATAATCATCGCAATGGTATAAGAGATAAATAAGATTATTTTAATTGTAAATAAAAATTCGTTTATGCATGTGCGTTCATTGGTAACGAGTAAGAAAACAAAAAAAAAATATTAAAATAAATAATAATAATAATAATAATAATAATAATAATAATACAAGGAAAAGATAGAGAAAACTGTAGAATGGCAAGTAATAAATAAAAGAAATTTCTAAAGTTAGAAGAGAAGAAAATAATGTCTAGGGAGTTTTCTCTTTCTCTCTCTCTCTCTCTCTCTCTTTCTCATCGGAAGCACTCGTTCGAATGAATTCACTCGAGGACAAATGTCACTACAACTTTCTTAAGTTTCGAATGCATAACGCATATAAATAGAGAAACAGCTATTGCTGTTTCTGGCATTCCTATTTGAAGATACACACAAAGAGAAAACAAGAGAGAGAGAGAGAGAATAGAAGGAGATAGTATCATCAAGGAAGCTAATTAAACACAAGCATTACAAGTATGCACTATGCTTACTCTCCTTTATTATCAAGCTCATCCTTCTAAGTCTGTCTTAACTTTATACTGATGTAATGTAAACTTTACGAGAGATAGTACACTAAAACAATTTTCCTTCCTTTTCTTTCCCTTTTTTATCCATTATGCTTTAAAGTTTTAAATTATTTCTTCTAGTTAACTTAACCATGATGATCTTCGTTTGAAATATCTTAATTGTTGTAAAAAAAAAAAAAAAAATAGAAAGATCGTATGAAAGTAATTTTTATTTTTGTTAAGATTGTTTTATGAAAAAATATGATAAAAAATATATTGAACCTTTTTTGAAAAGTATAAGTGCATATTTCGTTGGATGGAGAAATAATTGTAATATATTTTTATTATAATTATTTGTATATTCATATTATTATTATTATTATATAAATTAATATTAATACTTTTAAAAGGAAAATTATTATTACATCGATTTATATATGGGGCATTCCACGTCAAATTGACCATTTTTGATCCCGACCCCCTTTCGATTTGGCTGAAATTTTTTTATCATTTTCTACTACATTGAAAACCTTTTTGAAAATTTTTTCAAATTTTTGCACCCAACCCAAAAAAAGTTATGAATTTTTCAAACAAAATGTGACATTTTTCCTGCGAATAGCCGTTAACTTTGTCAAAAATTGACTCTTATCGGGACGTTTTTTATTTCAATTTTTTTTTTTTTAAATTGATAATTAAAAAATTCTTTGTATTATATGTTAAACCTTTTAAAAACTTTTCAATCCGGTTAACGTACCAGTCAAAATAACTTTACCAGGTAGAACAATTCCAAGATGTTTAAAAATAAAAAAAAAAATAAAAAGAAAATCCTTAAGAAAAATCGCGCGTACAAGGTATTCGTTAGAATCGTAAAAATTTAATTAGATAATTTATATACCGATAAAAAAATATAATGTATCCATTATGGAACTAAGAAAGTAAATAGAACGAATTGTGGTATTTGGAACCTCGATAATTCGAGGTGTTCGACCAATCAGGATGAATAACGCCTTCTGCTTGGTGTCCCGTGAAATTGAGAATTGGTTGGTTGGTTGGTTGATAGGTAGTAGGTATTGTGGTAAATGGTTGAATACGTAAAGTCTTTTGGGAGCTTACGGAGAGAAAATTTCACCGAAATACCAAAAGCTTATCCAATCGGGATCGACGGTTAGTCTAGTAAACTTTTATCGTGCTTGATCCTGACCACCAGCTGTGTTCGTTCTATTTCCTTCATGTAAGGCACAACTATACACATCCCTATATACCACTATACCGCACACTATGCTATCAAAAAAA